TTACCTGGATGAAACGTGGTATGATACCCATGATGTTGTGCAGTACGGCTGGGTTGACGACAGCAACAAGTGCATTTTAAATGCACCATGCAACCGTGGAAAACGAATCATTATTCTACATGCTGGCAGTGAAAATGGATTTATATATTAACGCCTTGCTGTTATCTGCCAAAAATATCAAAGAATCATGTGCCGACTATCATGAGGACATGACCTCCAACTTATTTGAAAAGTGGATAGAGCAGCAGTTAATACCAAACATTTCCCCAAATTCAGTGATTATTATGGACAATGCGCCATACCATTCCCGACAGAAAAACAAAATTCCGAATACAGGCACAAAAAAACAAGATATTATTGATTTTATGAAGGATAAGGGAATGGAAATACCAGAAAAATTAACCAAAGCCATATTATTGGATCTTATTAAAAGACAAAAATTTGAAAAAGAGTATGTTGTTGACAATCTGCTTCAGCAAAATGGCCATGAAGTATTACGTCTACCTCCCTATTACTGCATTTTTAACCCGATTGAGTTGGTCTGGGCTGCTTTAAAAAAAAAGTAAGAAAACATAATCAGACCCCTCAATTAAGTGAATCGCTATTGGCCACAATAAGAGATGCAGTATCTCATATTGCTGCCACAGACCTATGGAAGCAGTGTTCTAGGCATATTATTGAAAAAGAAAATGAATATTGTGTTTTGCCTCCTGTAAGTCCCGTTGTAATTCCTCTACAAGATGACTCTAGCGATAGCTCCGGAGGCGAGGATGATATATAAATACCTATGATGTAAGTCTTTATATACCTTTTTATATACCTACCTGCTATGTAAATATTTGCTTATGTCAAACGTTGGAATTCTGTAATTTTTCCATTTCTTAACTTTCAGTCAACTTAAATTAAACTCCCAATATAAGTATTTTTTATCCCAAATCAAAAAAATAAGAAGATAGTAAAATCCATTTATTGTGATATAAAAACATTATTATTATCGTTCTAAATAAATGCCGCACGCCTATGATACGTCATGAAATTACAAAGGACGCGCCGATCAAAGGTTTTTATGCTATTTCAAGTGACTTCAAATACACATACATCAATCTACAAAAAGTCAAATTGTTTTGTTCAAAAATAAAGACCAAGACCTAGATTCACCTTGGTTTGGAATTTGGCCTCTAAGCAATTATTCGGTCAGAAATAGTGTAAACTCAGCTATAAGGTTGAAAATACAAGCTATTTCGCGCTACAGGTCGAAGTTCTGAAAACGGACAAATTTGATATAGTCTCTTCTTAATGTTAAAACATAAATAAACATTAACTAATTGTTCACATATTATGTCATAATTTGAGAAGTACCGCTCGGATTTTGATAAAATTTTCACGCAAGGTTACTACTATGACAAGGATGTAAAAGCTTTTAGTTTTTGAAAATCGATCCAATGGTGGTGGAGCCAGGGGTAAAACCACGAAAGAAATAAAAATCGCTTTCACTTCCTTTTTGGAGGTTCAGAGGCTCCTGATCATTTTTTGTAGGGGTTGAAACTTGGACGTTGTAGGTTATAGAGGGTAGGGGGTGGTAAATGTGACGTCTTTAGTATTTGTCAAAGACGTTCTATTATTGAGAATGAGCTCATAATTCGAATTAATTTTGCAACCAAGACCACGGTGCAATGGGTAACAAACTCCAACTGGCTTGCGGTGCTGTCGCCTCTGACATACCTCTACAGGAGAGATATTTATTTGGATATTAGGAGTACGTACCACTTTAGCGCTCTGTGATACTTTTGTAAATGATGATTTAGCTCAGACTCGTGTGATGTAGTTATATCTCTAAGCAACAGAAAACTTGTGAAGCGAAGTTGGAACATTATGACGAGTTTAATGCTTCGTTTAGGTAGTCGTAGATTTTGAAAATAAATTTTCTGGACCATTGTGTTAGCACGAACTCCTAGTACTCATTTTCAGGCATTGATTGGGGGTGTTAAGCCAATGGCCATTCACCGCACGCCACTGCTCCATTAGCGGTCAGTATTACTCAAGCGCGGCCGGTAAAAAACGACGCCATGTAACCAGAAGAATGCATCATCGTCTGTTATCAGATACATCAAAATTTATATCATTATACAGTCCACTTTATATTTCACAAATAAAAACATGATACCAGACTAGAACCGATAAAGATTGGGGATGAAAACTGTATGTTGGAAGCTGTTAGCGGTAAATAGTTGGAAATGATACTAAGCACCTGTTAGACATAATAAGTCATATAATATTTTCCTTTCATCTGGCATGGAAACAAAAATATGATAGATTTGCATTAAATAGTTTGATATGCAGAGGTCGAAGATTCATTCTACCTAACTGACAGATTTGAATCATCCCTTTAATTTAAAACCTCCAACGAAGGCGCAAGAAGTATAGAGTAAATCTACTTGACGCTATTTTTTATTGCGGTACTTATTTGTTCGAATGTTTGAAGTATGCAGAAGTCTTCCATATATTTTCTTGTGTTTATAGAAGAATTTTTTTAGGCATTGTTGTAGTTTTAAATTCTTAACTCTTCATTTTACTTAGTTTATCACTACAGCAATAAATAATTATCTAAACAATATTTGTGTATAAGTGAATAAAACATCTCTATGGAAACGCGTGAAGATCGTCAATCAGTTAAAATGCTCAGCAAGTTAAAAATACTGTAGTATTTGCTGCATCATGGATGTGTTTAGTGTCACAAAAATTATTTACTGATTGCTTGTATGCATAGTATACCACATGAGTGATGTCATCATATCACAGTATACCGAAAAATCGATTCCTGTTGAACCACGCAAAAGCAATTATCAGACAGACAAAAAAGTACAAAACATAAGCGCAAGTACAGCTATTCCCCTTAGGAAAAAATAATCCTCGTCGAGCGATCTGGGGAGACGATTACACATCTCAGTATAGAGAAGAATAGCACGGAAGAATAGAAAAGAAGAGAGGTGAGGAGCGCATATGGAATTACAGGGCCATTGTTGACAGAGACAAGAGAGAAGCCCAGGTGGGCCCGCCCTGGGATTTGCTCACTCTTCGATGGACGCAAATAAGAATACCCGAAAACGTATGGTGGTTCCCATGCTCCCGATCGGTACTATGTTGCCGGATTTTCACCGGTAGTACTTGCTTAGGTATAGTGCACTGCGATTTCGTTGCCTTGAAACTATTGTATTGATGCTCTACGATCGAACATTTAATGAAATGAACGCGGTTGCTTCATGATGTGCTCAAGCATGTCTGATTAAATTGTAGAATAAATGCATTAATTACCGATAGAGGCGCTGGGAGCGCTTTGTTTACATTTCAACATGTCAGTCGATAATAAAAAAGTTGTTTGTCGAAGTAAAAATTCTAATATTTCCCTACTAAATGAGGAAGAAAGTGAGATTAAAGCCATGTTCGTATAGATGTCGCCAACCTGTCAGTGTTCGTGTCCAAAATCCCGTCACACAAATTCTATTCATTTCTGCTACGCTATATAGATGGAATTCACGCGGCCGAATCCCAGACGCAGTCATCGACACATCACCGACCACTGAATGAAAAAAATCATAAAAGCTTTTACGATTAAAATCTATTCGAGTAGGTACTATGCGGCTCACGCAAATATCGAAGAAAATGTCAAAAAGCCGTGAAGTTCGGCAGGACCATTACGTAATTGTCAACTTGATCCGTCATGCTTTGAGAGGATGTGTGGTTGAGTAGCAGAATAGCAAGATCACATCTGGATGTGTCTATTGGTCTGCATGCGTACAAAATCAGTGATATTTGCTATGTGAGAGAATTATTGCTAAATATGCTGTCCATGAAATATGTCTTCGCTGTGCTGACCAATTATGTGTCTTATCCTTTCTGAAGAGAGGTTATGTTCAAAGTTAATACATTACGATTTTCCCCGGTTTTTTTTTGCGTTTCCAAAAACTTTGAAAAGCATTACGGGAAATTAGCACCGCAACCGCATTGTGTGTAATTAAGCTACGTCACAGAAAAATTAGGAATGAAGCATCATATACAAAACATGGAGCTAACTTTTAGCCGATTCCATTGAAATTTGTTGGGATTTGGCAGGTAGAGACGAATCGCTGAACATTTAATGAGACCGCCTAAGTAAAACGCTTTAATAGAAGTCCCTTACTTTTTCCTTTGAAGTGCAGGGAGTTGCAAATTTTTCCAACACGGCCAAACCCTAAAAATCCTCAAAATTTTACACAAAATCATGCTAGATATCCAGATATTTTAAGGTCCAATAGGATTTCCAGGAGCCGTGTCCATGAGCGCGTTTTCTTTCAATTTGTTTTATCTTGGCTTTCGGCACCTGTATTTATAAGTTTTTAACTCACTCCGATCCTTGAGGAAAATGATTCTTTAAATAGGTTTATATAAACTTTTCTTCTTAGAATCACCTAAGAATCACCTCTTGAAATTTAGTCAGGTCCTTTATTAACGCCCTATAAGTACCTATACCTTAGAACTGACGGGCATGACCGCTCCTTCGCTCCTGTGGTGTAGAGTGTAGATAATGAGAAGTGTCTTACCAAGCGAAAAATTTAGCATTAATGCGTTGCTCTTGTGCAGGCCTCATTGAGTTAAAATAAGCAGATAATTCGTATTGTTGCTCAACTTTTAACACCGAGTAATTCAAAACTAACAATTTATAGGAGAGCAAACGGAATGGTAGATCTTTAGATTTTTTATCGAATGACATGCATAACCTCCTCCTCCATGTTTATCTGGCCGCTAAATAAAACCACAGGTGCTTAAAGTACTGTTTTCTGAAGACGTATCGGCCACCCTGATACCCTTATCCAAGTACATGTACATTTTATTTTTTGTGTTACGCGGTGTTAGAGCTTAAGCGACGATATCACCTTATCTTCTACTACAGAGCTATAGATTAGCACTGAACTTTCAATAACGAGTGTTTTTTGAAAAAAATGCCTTTGTAACTAATGTTTAAGGGGAAAGACAAAAATATAGATTCCTCTAATTTGCCAATGAAAGCTTCTTATCTAATGTCAGTAGTAAACAGGAAAGCGCATCGGCAACATTGTAAAACCAGAGCAGGTGAACACATGAATAGCGAGGGAGAGACAACCACGACGCGACGTTTGATGGAAATGAAAGAACTGCAAAGTCACGGTCTCAACATTGGCATGCTATATGGGATAGAAAAGGGCTTTTTTTCCGGTAAAGCATGAGGGTGGCCTGACACCATTACCACTGACTATTTTGCTGCTGTTTGTGACAAGTGTAAACAGGCCGTATGTTTCGTAGGACAAGCAACATCAAACGAAAATTATTGTTTTCATAAGCCTGTATGAGATAAGATGGCGTCAACTAGATTGACTCTATACATGAAACTCGTTCGTTGGAGGTTTCAAAATAAATCGTTTCAAAAGGCAAAATCGAATCGTGATTAGGTAAGTTCACTCAGGTACGATGAATGCATATCAAACTATATAAAGCAAATCTATTATATTTCTGTTGGCAGATGTAGGGAGAATATGACTCATTATGTCATAATGTATGATATAAGAGGTACATGGTATCATATAGATAATATTCGAACTTCGGTTCACAAGTTTTCTGTTGCTCAAAGATATCTGCACCACCAAGTCCGTGTTTCTCATTTATGTCGGTTTGCCAGTCCGTGTATGATGTATGTATATCAATGCATCATTCAAGTACTGAATTAATCTACCTGACGAAATATTCAGAGAACCATCATAGACTTATTAACAAATTCAAGGTTAGGCGAAATGAGTGGTACATTTGAAAATCATAAAATTCTGAAAGATGTCTAGATGTAAAGATAGTCAAGTCATCATTTACAAAAGCATCGCAGAACGCTAAAGTGGTATGTACTCCTGATATCCAATTATTGCTAAAATACATTAATAAATATGTCTCCAATCGCGGTGTGCCATTGGCGACACCACCGAAGATGGGTTGGAGTTGGTTACCCATTGCATAGTCGGCAATGGCGTCCACGATGATGCAGAATCGCGCCGTGCACGTAACACCAACGATTGCCAAGTTATTAATTTTGACTTGGACTTTTATCATTTAATTTTCCTTTACTTACCGGGATCAGAAGCTTCTTAATAATAGAACGACTTTGATTAATACTGAAGACGTTACATTTATAACCCCTAAACTCAACAGCAAGAGTACAAGTTATAGGCGGATATAAAATTAGCGGACAGACAGATGGGCAGACGGAAATGAATGCTTTTCCTTGATGTACGTATACATGTCATATAACATCCAAAAAACATAATATCTCAAATTCGAAATTTCACGCGATACTGTACTTCATCGCCAGTTTTGGAACAGGAAATAAAATTACGACATGCCAAAGAAGCCAATAGCCGAAAAGTAGTGACACCTTAGTGCCACATCAAGCGAAATAAAGATTACCAAATCTTGATTTTTCTCATCTCAAGCGTGTAGGGATTGATTTTTGAGAAATGCATGCATTATAGATGTTTTGTAAATGCATAGCTAACTTATGTTAATGCATGCTTACCCCTCATATACGTACAGGATGGGAAGCTTTTACGTGAAGGTGGTGTGGCATAAATTCCACTACTTGCTGCTGATAGTGACAAGAGTCAACAAATGTGCATAGTGAAGCCGATGAGATGAAAAATATGATGCTTTACAGGTACTTAAAAATGGTGTCAAGTGACCTTGTACTATTTTGCTGGTGCTGATAGTAACAAGTGTGAACATTCTCGATATGTAGAACAAGCGTAACGACAGTCTTTTCAGAGTATTTTGCTTTGGTTGAATGGTGATATATTATAAACTTTATCTTGACAATCAGACAAATAATTGGTGAAAGTTGTTCCCATATACGATACAGTTTATAATCAATAAAAATAGAATATAGGGTTACAAAATCAGGAGGTTTCGACTCTTATTAGAAAATATTGACCACATAGTATGTCAGGTTTTACTAATTCTTTATATCCCAGATTTGACAGAGTGCAGTTATAATATAAGTTTCATAAATTATAATAATAACGTCTTTATTTAAATACAAAGAACCAAGAGAGATATAAGCAGTAAAGTTTAGTCAGGGCTACTATTACACTTAAATGCTTATTTATGTTGGTTACATTAGATGTTTAAATCAAAACCTCACCTATGTGAGCATAAAAATCAGATTCCATATCTGCACGGCAGAATGTGTTAGCCTATGGCGAGCAGCCTGCTTTTGACTTGCTCACGAAAACGCGACATGGTGTCAAGTGACCTTGTGACTATTTTGCTGGTGCTGATAGTGACAAGTGTGAACATTCTCGACATGTAGAACAAGCGTAACGACAGTCTTATCAGAGTGTTTTCGTTCACACCCCACAGAAATGCATACGGGTCTGTGACAAGCATACTACTTACAAGTGTTCAAACTTGAGAATGTATTTGTATGCGCAGGTTGAAGAATGAATTTACTTGAATCCGTTTATTGTTATATAGTTTATTTGTTTTTATAAAAGAGTCCTTGAAACTGGGATCGTAAAATAGAATCACACAACTTCTTCAGTGTGATAAAAGTAACGACTGTTCAAACTTAGCAACTTTTAGCCATATATTTCTTAAACTAAGCACATACCATCATTTTCTAAACCAAAAAAAGTGAGAGAATGCAGGCCAAAAATGACAAAACAGAGAAAACTGTATATTTCGTAATAGTTCTCCAACTTCTAGAATATGAAGACGGACAGTTCCATCAAGATATACAAAAGCAAGCTAGAAAGCTGACCGACTAAGAGTTTCATTATCAGTTTAATTCGCATTGTAAGAACTTGTCTAAGAAGTTCAAAACGAAATTTTATCCTCCTAGCTAGATGGCAAAATGTAAAACTCAAGGTACACTTAAACAACTTGAACATTCACTTCCATTTTCAATGTTAGTAAAATATTTTCAGGAATTTTTGAAAAAATGTGACATTTACAAGTTTGATTAGTTTAATTTACTGAGAGATAGAGCCTTACGTAAAATTCGAATAAAAAAGAAAAGCTACATTCAAAAACTAAACCCGAAAGCTTCATGGTCTGGATTGAGCAAGCTTAATATAAAATCTAACTCAAAGCTAGCAATACCAGTTAGCCTAGCTGACGCTAATAAAATAAACAATTATTTTATCTCCGTGTATCGCTTTGTTAGCGTTTCCGAAAATGTACGTCATTTCCATGACAGCAACATATTGGACAACCGAAATTGCTTTCAGTTCCGTGTTGTCCAGCAAATGCAAGAAGTCATTAGAGATCTGAAATCAGATGCTAAGAGAATTGACACTCTGCCCTTAACTATGATCAAAGTAAGTCTTCCTATAACTTTCTTTCACATTACTCACATTATAAATTTGTGTTTAGAAAAAAGATACCACCCTAAACAGTGGAAGCTGGTTTTAATTATGCTTGTCCCTAAAATATCAAATTCTACTGAACTTGAGCATCTAAGACCTATAAGCTTATTACCCGTGCTTTCAAAAATTCTAGAAAAAATCATACAGCAGCAAGTTGTTCAATATATATATATATAAAAGAGCATAAAATAATACCTTCACGTCAGTCGTGTTTTAGGAAGCACAATAGCACCACTTCAGCTCTCTGAGATCTTTGTGATAATGTTATTCGGGCACTGGACAAAGAAATGGCTACAATCGTAACTGAGTGACGCGTAAATATTTCATCCTGTCGACTCCACGTATTTACAATTCGCAGCACCCACTTTGCAAATAGATTTAGCTAAGATACGTCAATTTCCCGTAGATCATAGTCTCACTGTTAATAAAGATATAAAATGCAAGTAATAGTGTTTCATTTTGACCATAAAAGAAGAAGCGTTGGAAATTCTGTCCAATTAACTATTGGCACAGTGCTACAATATACTCAAACAGCTAAGATACTGGGTGTTAAATTTGACAACAAGTTAAGATCTCGCAGCCATACAGCTAGTTTAATGAAAAAATATATCTTCCCTCTAGAACCCTTCATTCTCCTCGATGCTCTGCTACTGTGATGCCGTTTATTACCCGTGTCTGGATCAGTTATCGAAAAAACGGCTTCAAATCATTCAACATCGCTGCGTTCGCTTTATTTTCGGCCTGCGAAGATATGATCATATCAGTGATAAATATCAAGAATTAAATTGGCTTAGGTTAAGCAGTCTAGTTAGATATAAGTACTTAGCTTTAGTTCATAAAATTCTCATATCATCGAAACCTGAATACCTGGAGGTAAATTGCCATTCAAATGTGAAGCGCATGACTAGGCTGTCAGAAGTCGCTATAATGTCAGACTCGCCCCACATAATTCTGATTTATTCCAACGTGGTTTTTCATATATGCAGCATTATTCTATGTAATTTTTTGGAAAACAGCTTAAAATCTATGTCATTGCCCCGTTTTCGTGGCCAAGTCAAAAGCAGGCTGCTCGCCATAGGCTAACATATTCGGCTGTGCGAACGTGGAATCTGATTTTTATGCTCACATAGGTTTGTTTTCCTCTCTTTATAATACTATTTTTTTCCCTTTCGATTTAATCATATAATGTAACCAACATAAATAAGCATTTAAGTGTAAGAGTAGCGCTCTGACTAACCTTTGCTGCTTATATCTATCTTGGTTCTTTGTATTTAAATAAAGACGTTATTATTATAATTTATGAAACTATACACCTATTATAACTGTACTCTGACAAATCTGGGATATAAAGAATTAGTAAAACCTGGCATACTATGTGGTCAATATTTCTAAACCTCCTGATTTTGTAACCCAATATTCTATTTTTCTTGATTATAAACTGTGTCGTATATGGGAACAACTTTCACCAATTATTTATCTGATTGTCAAGATAGAGTTTATGATACATCACCATTCACCCTAAGCAATTCGTCTTCAAAATTCGGAAAGCTGAGTAAGGGATACCTGAAACTGAATAAAGCCACTTAGTCATGTGTACAAAAATTTTAGTTTTATTCCCAATAATGGAGCAATACTGCACTTCATTGACCTAAATATGACTGCATATATAAATTTTCAAAATTCGTATCATTCCGTCCCGTCAGCAGTGACCTATACAGAAAGTTTCATTGCGAGGTAGAAATATTCTAACCATGGTTATCGACCACTATCCTTGAGTCTTAATTCTATTTCACTTGATCACAGTCATTGATC